AAATTAAATTAAATTAAATTAAATTTAAAAACTACTCTCATGTTTATCTAAGGTGTGGCATTTTCAAAACCCTCACTAAGGAGTTCTTTAACATAGTGAGAAGTTCTTTAACATTTTTAATCCCTTGTCCTTAGTCCACTTCCTCGATTGCTCTGGATCTTCTAGGGAGTGACCAAAGATTTGAGAATCACCTTTGGGACTGAAATCTAGCCAATTCCATCCATCAGGTGGGAAAATTCAATATTTTTATTGTGCCTAGTAATATACATAATAATATATAATGCTATATACCCAATGTGCCATATATGTGTGGACATACTGAATGACACAAAATATGACCCCAAACCTCTCACAGTTTACAATCCAGTTAGAAAGAGAAGAAACATAAATGTGAAAAATGTGCAAGGTCTTCTCTGCTAAGAGCTGAAGCAGTAAGTCTAAAGCAGGAAAAGGGTGATGGAGATCGGTAGTCCGGGGCCACTTCATGGAGCAGGCAGCGCTGGGCCAGGCCTTGGAAGATACATCTAATGTATGTTGATGAGCAAAATTTGGCAGCAGGAAAAACTGAGTCTTGTCCATAGTTTATGTGTTCAATAAACTTTTATTGAGCATCTACTAGAGACCAGGAAGTGTTCCTGGATATCATCCAAGCCCAACCTCACACTGTTTAAACTGGGAAACCAAGCTAGCTATCATTATCTGGGACTCTCAACTTTTTAAAAGGAAAGTACTGGCCTCAACTAAAGAAAGCAGAGCTCCCGAGAGTGGCTCCAGCTTTGTCACCAGTTCCTCCTTGACTCACACGTTATACACTGGTAATGCCTTACTGTTTTCATCATGTTCTTTCAAATCTCCAAGCCCCTGTGCCTGCTGTGCCCTAGGCGTAGGACAACCTTCCCACCTCTGTTTGGTGGGGGAAATCCTTGTCCTCAGTCACGATTCAACCAAACTATCCCTTTTTTGAGAAAGTCTCCTCCAAAGCTTGAAGTGGAACTGAGTACCCCTTCTTTTGCATTCGTTCACCTAGTCACTAATTTTGTAAGTTGGAATCCGAATCTTCCCCTCTGACGTCACCTTCACCAGAGTTGCGACATACCCTGTCTGGTTCATCTTGCTCTAGCTTAATGTAAAATTAGTTCACATCCCTTTTCTTTTCCATTGGCCTCTACTGTAGCCTGAAAGGCCTCCGCCTATCCCCACCCATAGCTTCACCTAGCTGGCTCATTCTTGTCCTCAAGTGTCTCCTCCACACTCACACCTTCCCTGACCAACTACCCTGGCTTCGTTTCCCTCTTCATACCACTATCGTACATAGTACACAAGACTGGCACCACCTCATCATTTAGTTTTCAATTCAAATGTCCTCTTCTCAGAAAAGCATTCTCTGATTGGGCAGTCATCATTTACCGACCCAACGTCATTCTGTCTTCTTTCCTGCCAAAACTCTACATTTGATGACTCATAACTCTTTTGAATCCATTGCAGCAATACAAGTCCTCTTTTCTTGTCACTGAATTAGAGGTAGGCAGGTGACCATTTGTGTTCAATGAGTTTTAGGGGGAAGTCTGCTGGTGCAGGGGGAAGCTTCTAGGTAGGATTGTTTTCCTGATAAATTGAGGGAGCTACACAAGGGGAAAAAGTTATCTTGCCCCCCTTTTCCATCTTTTTCTCCTTTCTGGGTTTGGAAACTCTAAGAGGATATAATGTCTGCAGCTATGTCACACATCTTGCAACCATGACACAACAAGCCTGAGGAAAATGCCAGTATGTTGAAGATAGGGGAATAGAAGGATGGAAAAAAGCTTGGTTCTTGATGACACCACTAAATTACTGAAACCAGCCTGGAATCAATAATCTCTGGGCTTTAAAAATAAATAATTAATCCTCCTAGGACTTATGCCACTGTCAGGTCTTCTATTACTTGTGGCCAAAGTAACTTAATTGATACTCCCAACACTCTATCTAAAGTAGCATGGCAATCATTCTCTATAATGTTCCACTTATTTTCCTCATATATATGACTAGTCAAAATTATCATACTTGGAAATTGGTTAATTGTGTTCCCCAAGGATTATGGGGGCAGAAACCTTGTCAATTTTATCAGTGTATTTCCAGGACCTAGAACACTGCCTGACACTTTATAGGAGCTCAATAAATATGTGTTACATAAGTGATTAAATGAATGAATACCTCTGGTGACAATCCTTCATTTCTTGTCCATCTCATAACAGATGTGAGCTCCTTGAGATTAGAGACTCCGATTTTATTTAGTTTTATTTCCCCCAAAACTATCAAACTGCTTGGCATACAGAAGGAAATGGATAAATATTTGATGAATGGAGAGACATATGCTCCCTGGACCCTTCCTTCAATAATCACCCTTCTATTTAAGGTACAACTCCTGAGCCTCCAATATTGGACAATTTGGCAAAGGAACTCTGAACGGGTGTTTCATGATAGTTGAACTTATAAGAGAATTTTATGATAGAGTCTTTAACTGGTCAAAGATCTTAGAGATTGGCCTTGTAAACCAAACTTCCAGATGAAACACTTCCAATAATATAGAGCTGATCACGTCAGGAGACATTGGTTACAATCACGTTGCAATTATATTATATGTGAGTGGGCTCAAATAGGCCTCTTTGTGATTGACAGCTATTGTCAAGCTGTTATCTATTCATCTGGTCTTTGAAACCCAACCCTGAAAGAAATGCCTCTCCATGTCTTCACACACGCAACTGAACCTGGCAGGGATAAAACTGCCATATTTCACTGACTATAAGATGCCAGTGATTATAAGATACCCATCGTTTTATGAGCCACCAAGAAAAAAACAATGCTAGCAATTAAATTCTGAAACAATGCTAGAACACCATGGAATAATACTAGGATGTATTCCAATTTCAGAGGTACATCTAAGATGTGACACAAAAAATATGGTAGTTTCACTTTAAAATAACTAATACAGAATCCCACAGCCCTCCGTGCAGTTGGTCAACTCTGCTGTGACTTACTGGCAGGCTCGTTTTTCCACGATCCTGGATGACTAATGACGTACATTCACTCTCTTCAAACCACTGATGAAACTTCTCCCCGCCCCTCACATTATCAACCTCACCTTACATTTTGCAGAGAAAATAGAAACCATCAGAAGTGACCTCTATCCACTTCTCACCTCCACGCCCACAAATCCACTTGCATGCACGACCACCTTCTCTCCCTTCTCTCTTGTCATGTTGGAGGAAGCGTCTGTCTTCCTGTCAGAACTTGAGCCTTTCCAGGCGCTCTGTCCCCTTCTCCTCAGGCTTTCTTGAGGACAGCATTCCTTAAGGTTTCCTATTCCCTGCCTCATCAATTTCTCTTTCTATAATGGATCATCCCGTTAACATTCTAATATGCTCAAATACCTTCCTTCCTAAAATGAAACAAAACAAGTCTCATTTAGTTCCCCCTGACCCCACCTCAGGTCTTCCTTTCTAGCTAATCTTCTCCTGAGAACTGTACACATGAGCTGCCTCTAATTTCTAACCTTATAACTCTCTTTCAGTCCAGCTGTCTCCTTCACGCCATTGCATCCAGCTGTATAAAGGTCACCAATGGTCTCCATTTTAATAAATCTGTATATTAACTCTCTGTTCTCTTCTTGCTTTATCTCTTGGAGGCATTCAACTCTGTTGGTCAGTTTTGAGACCAACTTTCTTTAAAAAAAAAAATTGGGGGGAGTGAGGAGAGTTGCCACTTTGTGAGGAGTAAAAAGTGTAACTATTGCATTGTTTTGTACACCTGAAACTAATAAAAAATAAAAATAAATAAATATATAATAAAATAAAATAAATTTAAAAATAAGTAAAAAATAAAATCAAATAATTTTATTTGTGAAAAATTTTATTGGTGAAAAACATATAAAATTTACCATCTCAACCATTTTTTAGCATTCAGTAGTAGTGTTAAGTCACATTTTTGTGAGCTACATCTCTAGAACTTTTTCATCTTGCAAAACTGGAACTCTATACCCATTGAACAATAACACTTCATCAACCCCTCTCCCCAGCCTCTGCTAACCACCATTTTACTTTCTGCTTCTATGAGTTTGACTTCTTTAGATAACTCATACAAGTGGAATGATACAGTCTCTGTCTTTTGGGATGGACTTATTTCACACAGCATAATTTCCTTATGGTTTATCCATGTTGTAGCATATAACAGGATTACCTACCTTTTCAAGGCTGGATAATATTCCATTGTGTGCATACATCGCACGTTTATCCATTCATCCATCAGTGGACATTTGGGTTTCTGAAACACTTCCTTTCTCAATTCACACATTCCTCACATTCCGATTTCCTCTCTGAGCTGCTCTCCACTGGACTTCTGAGTGTGGCGTTTTTCCCCCAGACTGTCCTTCTCTCTCCGTTTTACTCTCCTCGCTTCCCTCCCTTCTTCTCCCTTTCCCTAGAGTAGCTCGTCCACGTCCACAGCTTAGCTCTCCAGGCCACATTGCTCTTTTTAAGCTCCACATTCACATGTAAGGAAGTCCTATGATTTCTTCCTCAAAATATAGCTCACATCTGCCTATTTCTTTCAATCTCCATCCAGTCTAGGTCATGCTCTTCTCTTGTCTTCACTAATATATTGTCGCCCTGATTTTAAACTTGCCCCCTTCTGATCTGTTTTTTCAGAAATCTCAAACATATATTCAGTCATATCATGTCCCAGAGTAAAATCTATTTTCATCGCACTTAGAATAAGGTCCACATGTCTCATATGGCCTATCAGGCCCAGCTGGCTGGGGAGCTACCTGCCTTTCCAGTCTCACCTGGGGCCGTTCTTCCACTGTCCACTCTGATGCAGACGTAAGGGCCTCCTTTCAGCTCCAGAAACTTACCAAGCTCTTTTCCACCTCTGGGCCATTTTTTCTGTTTCTTTGGCCTAGGATCACTGTGCCATGCCTCCTCTCCCTTGCCCCACTGTTTTCTTCAACACACACACCCCTCATTCTTTGTGGGACTGGCTATTTCTCCTCGTCAGTATGCCAAGTAGATCAAGATGAAGAAAGACAGTCACCTGGGAGGAAACCTTCAGAGGGCCCTCACTGCCAAACCAGCACCTGTCTGACACTGAGAGTGAGCGTCTCCTTAAGTTTGGGGTCCTAGGCCTTCTCCTTAGTCCAGCCTTGCTCCTCTCTTGGGTACACCTCTCCAGTACACCTCTCAGGAGGCCTCTTGGACTATTCTCTCTAAACAGGCCCCCCCAAGCTTCTACCCAACAACCCCATAATCCTAAATTACTACGCTGGTTTGTTTCTCTCAGTTCATTTATTCCAACTTCAAATTATCAACATATTTATTTATTTGGAGGGTGTCTGTTTATCCCCCATCCCTCAGGAAAACAAAAGCTGTACATACATAGTAAATATTTGGTTTTAAATGTATTTAATAGCCACCATTACTTCAACCATCCTTGAAAGAACATGGCTTCAAATTCTATCAGTCTCTGATCACCCTCTTCTGCCTTCTGGGGTTGGGGGGAAGGGGAGAATGGAGGAGGACAAGGATGCCACAAGATTGATGTGGGAAATAAAGTTTCTGGGAGCCTTTTGAATTTTCAAGAGTGAAAAGAATTCAAGGATTACTAGACACAAGATTTCTAGAAGGATCCAAAGATATCTTGACGTTTAACTCAATATTCAAAATGTAAAGGCAATTTCACATGATATAGTGACCTCATTTCTGACAAGAGGCAATAAAACTTTTGTTTTATAAATAAGGGCATCACTTCACTTTGACATGTTCACTGACCAAGATGTCACCAGGAAAATCCATTGATCAAACAAACTCAAATCTCTTAGGTTTCAGAAGAGGGACGTCGAGGTGGGGGATTGGGATACTCAGAGGGTTTTCAGGCCTTGAAACTTGGGGAACTGGTTGGGATTGGGCAGAGTTTATGGCATAATGGCTTGGGGAGGTGAGCACAACACCGTGAAGGTATTTAGCAAGTCTTGATGAGCAAGCTGTTTTTTCATGGTTCAGAGTTTATCTTCCAGGATTGAATATTTCCTGGAGAGCCAGTACCCGAGCTACTTGGGCTCATTTCTTGTGTTATTTCACATGGGGACAGGAAAGGATGCTAGGTTCCAGTATCGTTTAACACAGGTTTGAATTCTCAGCATTCAGGAAAACTTATTTGTCAAGTTCTAAAGCTCACCCTCATAATTTTAACTTACATCCCCTCTTCTTGGCCCACTCCTCACCTTTCCTCAGCTCCATTGTCTAAGAAGTCAATAACCTCATTTCCCATCTTCATCACTAAATAGGCTTTTAGGCTCACATTTGATCAGCAGGGGATATTATTATATTTCTCTCACAGTTATTATCAACCAGAAAATTAGCCAACTGGCTAACTTTCTGAACTTATCAAGGCGATCACTTCATAGACTGTGTAGATGCCTGACCAATGCGCTGTACAACTGAGGTTGAAGTAGAATAATATTGAATGTCAACTATAATTAAATATGTAAATATTAAGGATATTCATATATTTAATATATATTTATATATTAATATATTTATATCATATAATGTATATTTGTATAGTATATTTATATATAAATATGAAATATATTAATATATTTATATCATATGAAATATATTTATACAATATATTTATATAATATAACATATTTATATAATTTATAAATTTATATAATATAATAATATATATTTAAAACATATAAAAAATTAAATATATATAAATATATATTCACAGGAGGTGGACTATAGCCTAGGGAATAGAGTCAATGATATTGTAACAGTTATATAAGTTATCAGAGGGGTAATAGCTTGGGGGAGAGGGGTTATCCCTTTGTGAGGGGTGTAAATGTCTAACTACTATGTTGCTTTGCATACTTGAAACTAATAAAAAAAATGAGTCTGGTTGCTGAAAGGGACTGTGATGGTGAATTACTCCCAGGGGTAATGCATTTCCTTTTCATTGTATTCACCGATTCACCTCAATCCCCCCCTTGCTTTCTTTTTTAAAGGACTGGCCCTTTCAGCTGATTTCCTGTGTTGTTTAATATTTACTGACCGTGCCAATTCTCTTTCACTCTCAGATGCACCTCCCCATACCTTTATTCAGTGTGGACGCTGCTGTTCTGGCTTGAGGCCCTGCAGGTTTCAGTCTAAGGCGAAGGCCTCTCAGAGCACCTGCTTTCCTGCCTTTACAGGAGTTGGTGGGCTCGTAAGTAGACACTGTTGACTGGTTGACTACAGAAGGCTTTTCTAAGATTAAACAATATTAACACTCTAAAGAGGAGATACAATCAACTATTCACATAGGTGGTCTTGGGGGCAAGAAGGGGTAGCACTAAACTCACTACCTTTCTAATGTATATGTAGAATATTAGAGCTAGAACAGCTCTTAAAATTCAAGTTCCTAATTTTTCAGTTGCAGAAACAGATCCAAAAATGTGAAGAATTCTAGCCAAGCTCCCTGAGATAGGGAACACGAGGTCAGGTTAGAATCCGAATCTCAACCCTTATCTCCTAGTTCAGCAGTAGCAAAAACTACTCAGCAGTGAATAAAAGTACTGAAATGAAACCTTTCCTTTGCCCCTTACATTGTCTGTAGATCCTATCTTGCAAAACTTTCTTTTACAAGAGAAGAGGTTTAGGTCTGATTAATTCAATTTAATGCCATCGGCGCGCCTAAGGGGTCCAAAAATGGTATCCATTAACAAGCTGTAGAGGCACATAAAATCATTAAAACTGTCTCAAAATTGTGTGTATATGTGCATGCATGCATTTTCTGAGTCAAAAAAACTGTTGGGGGTGGGGGGCGGGGTGGAGCTTCTCAAAGCATAAAGACTCACTACACCAGGACTTGATTTTTGAAAAGACACGTTTATGCCTATCCCATCAATTACCAGCTGAACGAACCTGGCAAATTAATTAACCTCTCCTTTCCTCAATGTGCTCATCTGTAAAGGGGGATGTGGCTATTTGTCCACCTTGTATTTATTCTCTCCTTTTCCTTATTAACAAGTCCTGGTGTTTTTGCAGAGTTGCAACATGCCCTATTAAAATATGTACCTTCCTACAGACCTTTGCAACTAGAGCTGGGGATATGACCAGGTTCTGGTAATGAGATGGTAATTGAAGTCCCTGGCTGAGGTTTTTGAAAAAGTCGCTGTTTTCCCCATTAAAAGAAAGTGGGGTGGGGAGGAACAGACTTAAC